CACAGCATGGATGCAACTGAAGATCATTGTTACTTGAAATATGCCAGGCACAGAAAGACAACTATTACATAATTTCACTCATATTTGGTATCTAAAAAGTTAACCTCATAGAAGTTGAGAGTAGAACAGTGGGAAAGGTATGGGGAATGGGTACTTATATGCTCCGCTGTGCTATTTTACAGTAAGGTAATTATAGATAGCAATTGTGTACAGTATAACCCAAAACGGTAGATGAAGGAATTTTGAATGTATTTTTTCAGCATAAAGAAATGATAAGTGTTTGAGGAGATAACTATGTTTAACCTGATTACACAATGTACACATTTATCAAAACTTCATGTTACCCCAATAGTGAGAAATTTTGTGTTTTTATATTAGTTAAAATAAGTTTCATTTTAAAATGCTGGTAACAAACTTTATACATTTATTGGACAAAACTGGGAAATATTAATTTTATTAAACCGGTATATTTGACAATTACAAAATGTATATATCCATGGTTACTGATATAATTTTTTAATTTGTTCTAATTAATTATACATGCCACTAGAATGCATTTTGACACATCATATATAAATGGAGTATAACTTCTCATTCTTCTGATGTGATGTTTTGATGTAGGTCTACATTGTGAAATGATCTAATAAACAGCCTGGTGACTATAGTTGACAATACTATATTATATACATGAAACTTGCTAAAAGAAAATTGTTCTTACTAAACACACATCCACACAAAAACTTAATTATATGAACACATGGATATATTCATCAATATTCAGTTCCTTCTGAGTATCTCAAAAGGGTATGTTCTTTGCTTTTATAAAAAAATTTTCTTTGTTGAATAACAAGGGTCCAATGAAGTCAGCATATTGCAATTGTTTGACCTCTTAGAGAGGTCCCCTTTCATATGGAAATGCGCTCCCTTCATTTTTTTTTTTCTGTGCCAGTTCATTGTTGATAAAACGGGGGCATTTGTTCTGTATAATTTTATACATTTTACCTTCATTCTCGCTTAGCACCGTAAAGCCTATAAGTGCAGAGTTAGATTGTAGGCTTGATTAGTTTCTGGCTCAGTTTACGTTTTTATTTATTTTTTATTCTAATTTGTAATATATGACAGCAGAATGCATTACAATTCATATTACACATATAGAGCACAATTTTCCTATCTCTGGCTGTACACAAAGTAGAGTCACACCATTTGTGTCTTCATATATGTACTTAGGGTAATGATGTCTATCTCATTCCACCATCTTTTCTACTCCCATGCCCCTCCCTGCCCCTCCCTCCCCTTTGGCCTATCTAGAGTTTATATAATCCTCACATACTCCCCTGCCCCAACCCCAAGAATTCTTCCCAGGTAGTTTTATGTTTCTCCTATTTCAACACATGAAGAAGTCTATAACATCGGATTTTCTGCTTGCAGTAATTTCAAGATGGATCAGTAGGTTCACGTGATGCCTATCAATTTTCAACTAAAAGTTTAAGTAGCCCATGATAACCAGGTCCGCCACTAGACTCTACTGGGTTAACAAAATTGTGATATTTCTAATTTTATCCTTTCTTGTGCACTTTTTAATTGTGGCTATTCTTTTGGAACTTTCCTTCAAAAACTATTTGGATATTCTGAAATAGTCTAACAGGAAAGAGAGAATAATTGCTTCCATTTCTGTTGCTGCATTAGCAATCTTTATGGCAGTTTGGTGAGGTTCATTTGCAAGTATGAGCTATCATGATGTATTTTGATACTTAAATGGTCTTATCTATCACCAATGGGAATCCCTTCTGGTTGATTCCTTTGCCCTTTTGACATGACACCATGTAGCCTTTGCCACTTTCCTAGCTAGAAATATAAATTTATTGAAATGAGAAAAAAGCACATTGAATTTATATTGACTGATAGGGTTGCACCTTTTATAAAACAGCTTTAGTGAGGTATAACTGATATACAATCACTGTACACCTCTATTGTGCACAATTTGATGAGCTTGAATATATGCATACATTGATACTTCTAATTCAAATTAAAGATCATAGTTTTTTAAAAAATATATTTTTTTTTAGTTGTCAATGGACCAGTTGTCAAAGCCAGTGCCTCACACATGCTAGGCAAGTGCTCTACCACTGAGCCACCACCTCAGCCCCTAAGATCACAGTTCCTTTACTTATTCTTTTCTTATAAATATTGCTCAATAAACATAGCAACATAAACTATTATTGTATCTATCACATTATATTATTATCACCAAGCACACTGATATTTGTGTTCTGTACTCCATCCCTATGCCCTAGGCTACATATTTTATGTGCCCTTTAAAATCCTTAATTCTTATCCATGTAGTTATGCCAATAATCCCACATAATGGCTATGCTCAGTAATTTCAGTTTAGCATTTTAGGAATTACTTTTGGTTTCAAAGTCAAAACAAAGCAGATCTAACTTCCATTGTTGTGACCTGCTTCTTTCCTTTTCTAAGGGGTAACCATTTAAAAAAATTTGAGTACACTTCACCTTCTTACCTAAAGCATATATATATATATATATATATATATTGTATACAGAATTCTTGTGTCAAATAATGTCCTGGAGATCACACTATAGCAGTTTACTAATTCCATTTTGCAGATGTATAGTATTCCATTAAAAACTGCTAATTATTTTGTCATAAGTGTATTGTACTTTATAAAATACTCATATAATCCAAAGTAAATTCACTATTTCTTGAGGTCCCACATACTACCTAGGGATTTGGCATTGGATTATGAAACAAATTAAATTTTTAAAAGTACAAGAATATTTGCTATGCAAATTTCTAAAACAAAAAACGTTGTAAAATTCTAAGTACTCTTTTATTCTTGTCCTATTAATCCTCATCTTTCCCCAACATAACTAGTTATCAGTATGATATGTGTATTTCACAAACATTTCCTGTGATGTGCGTATGTATGTGCAGTGTAGGAAGTACTTGAATTTTTATATAAATTAATATATTCTGTTACTTGCTTTTTAAATATATGTTGGAGACACACCCACATATATGTGTGTGTGTGTGTGTATATATATATATATATGCATATCATACTAGCAGCTGCATAGTGTTCTTTACTATTAAATACATTTATTAACAATTGAACTCAGTCTCCTTTTAATGAACTTTTCAAAATTTACAACAAACTATGCAATAGTGTGGAATCTTACATTTTGTGTACATGTACAAAAATGTTATTTCAATGAATTCTAGACAAAATTACTCTAAAAATAAGAGGGAAATGTTGATAACATTTAAATGTTCAGTAATTTCTAATATATATTAGAAATGGGGATAGATCATTAAGATCTAGTTTTTTTATTATTTCAAACTCTACAAATTCTCAGAATTGGTACACTCTATTTTTTTACCCACCTGAAAGTCCCAAATAGGACAATTCACTGATGCTTCTATATCAGCTACAACATCCATCTCTAATTAATATTTCTTTTAGGGGTCAACTATCTCATTGATAGCAGGAGGTTTTACACATGCAAGTCCTATTAACATTAATAGGAGTTACCAGCATAAATCCTCCTGCAGTGATAGGCAAAAAGGCCCTACAGTGTACTAGGATCCAAGTTCTAATGATTACCTGTCAAATGGTCCTAAGAGTCATCATCACCAGAAAGGGCAGACGTAGTGACTTATATGGCAAGGGCATCACAATTGCAGCCCCTTAGCTAAAATTGTACATTAATGGGCAGAAAAGTGGCCTTCAAAATGTGATTTGGGATGCTAAGAGTTAAACTACTTAATTGTGTTTTTAAAAAAAGCTATCATTAAAGGAGAATTCAAACATATCAAAGTACTTGTTTTAAAAAAGTGTGAATACTGTATGAGCTCCAAGGTGCTTGAAGGATAATACAGCTACTTGTTTAAAAATTCAATTAACCTTATCTTTCACAAACTTGATTTATTAATATCTCAGATAAATTGCCAGTTTTGAAAGAGTCCTGTTATCTTTAAAAACCATTCTAGCTAAAGAGCATTATACACTTTGTGGAATTGACAGAGAATGTCTGCTTAATTATTTGATTCAAAAACAAATCATCAATGAATGATTTCTGCTTTAAAAGATCATCAGCAATCTTTTGAATATTGCAAGTAAGCTGTTGGAGCCTCAACCACTTCAGAGAAAAACATTTCAGGTTCTTATCATCAAATAAATATGAAAAAAACATTTCAGAATCTCTTCCTCAGAGATATGAAGTTTATAAACAATCTACGTACTCTAAAGTCATAGGAAACATCTCAAAACCTTTACAGCACTGATTTCAAACAGATTCAAGTTTCATCCACCTTTGCCTTATAAAGAATTAATGTTAACAGCTAGAACAGTTGATTAAGTGAATCAAATCCATGTATCATCTGATAGCCTTTATCACAAACTTGTTATGGCTTAGATATGAGGTATCCCCCAAAGCTTGTGTGTGAGACAATGCAAGGAAGTTTAGAGGTGAAAAGATTGGATTATGAGACTCCTAACCTAATCAGTGTACTACTCCCCTAATAGGGATTAACTGGGTGGTGACTGTAGACAGGTAGGATGTGGCTGGAAGAGATGGGTCATTTGGGGAATGCCTGTGGGATATATATTTTGTCCTTGGCAAGTGGAGACTCTTGTTTCCTAGTGCCATATCCTGAGCTACTTTCCTCTGCCATGCACTTCTGCCATGATGTTCTGCCTCACCTCAGGCCATGAGAAATGGAGCTCACTATCTATTTTCTAAGACCTCTGAAACTGTCAGCCCCCAAAGAAACTTTTCCTTCTCTAATGGTTCTGGTCAGGTCTTTTGGTTATGACAGCAAAAAAGCTGATTAAAACAACAATGTTGGCAGATGCCTGGAAACAAAACCAAAAATACATCTGACAGTTAATTTAATATTTAAATAATTGGCTAATTATAAAAAGACAATCTTTATTGGTATATATAAAAAATCATATGAAAAAAATTGGACATCACACCTGAAAGGCATTGAAGTCTTTATTTCCTCTGAAAATTGTTACAGTATACAAATTATAAATGACCATATATATAGATTCATGCTTTTTGGAATTTGACAAAATTTACTGAGAATAAGACAAATTATTCAATACTGGTAGCAGTAAACAACTGATTTGCAGAATTACAATTTAAATTTTAATGATCACTTCTATTTATCAATTCTAAACAATTGTTTTGGAATTTTTCAGGAGTTTAGACCAAGGGCAGACAATCCAGGAAAGTTTGGCCTTGACAGAATAAATCATTATCATCAATAATAAAATTAAATAATCAAGGCTATTATTTTGGACAAATGACTGCCAATCTGAGAAACTACCACTATTCTAGAAGTTACCCATTAACTGGCCATTTCACTATAGAAAAATATATAAATTGACCTTCATTATAATTATATGTTTTCTTGGGCAGGCACACCAACTAGAAATAAAATACAGAAGCATTAGTTATTAATGCTCTTATGAATCATTAAACTGAATATATCATTTTTGGTTAATAAGCATGCACAAGTAAATATTTAAATATTCAAGTCTTTAATAAAATTTTTCAAATTTTTAATTAGCTACTGAATTTTTTTCTAATTATGTACATAAATTTTATTCTTATGCCTTCATGTTTAAAGTTTTGCAACAAAATCAAAATTTTTTACTTCGATTTAATATCTACAGAAATAAGTACTTTAAGTATTAAGATAACTGAAGAGAAAGCTCTTAAATAATATCTATTACATTCTGAGGCAACCAGAAATAGCTAGAATTCTGTAATAAGGTTCTTAGCAGTTGTGTAGTATTGTATTCATCACAAATCACACTCAGGAGCTTTTAAACATTTCTATGTTATTTAGTAAATGGCATGGAAGAGACTGATATTGTTGAACAGATGAAATATGGTACAATGTGGGCTGGGCCATGAGAGTACAAATTAGCTTCTTGTTCTATATATAGACAGCTGCATTAAGGCTATCTAATATTTTTTTTTAGTTATATTAGGCCTACCCTGATTGTCTGTTTACATAAATGTGCATCTGCATTCAGGAGAGCCTTAACTCTAAGATTAAAAAAAAAAAGTGTAATATCTTGATTGGTACAACTTACTGCAATTATATTCATATTTAATACTCTCATATATGTATTGCTGGTATTGAAGGGCAGGACCAATTCCTGGTATACTTATGGGTATGTACTAAGCATTCAGTGCATTGTCCTAATTAGGCTTCAAAAACATGATTTGAGTTCAAAAAAGATCTGAATCCTTATATATATTGTTATAATGTGATTCTACTGTCCCTGATTTGTGTGTGACATTATAAAAGGGGAAAAGAGAGAAAGAGAGGGCAAGTAAGACAGGGGAGGTACTGTACAATGGGAGGAGGGGACAGGAACAGCCTGAGAGGCTAGAAAGTTTTCCTTTCCTCTGGATTCAGCTCTATATGTGGGGGTTGGAAAGGTGAAGCAAGAGCTACATTCCTTGGTTCTTTCCATTTCCCATGAATCTATTACTGTCACAACTAGCTTCAAGACCTTTTCCAGAACAAGAGGAGGTCAGGGACCATTTGCAGCTGAAGTGTGTAAGAACTATGTGCTTTCCACTGGAGCCATAGCTCCCTGAGAGGCAATAAAAGCCAAACTATGTGACAAGAGGCTTCAAGTCTGTTTATTTATTTACAAGCAGTTCTAAGTCAAAACTATTGCTCAAAAGAAGTAAACCATCAGAGCTTGGCATTCGGAAAATTTAAATGCAGGCACTGTTGCTGTATGTAGATTTGCTGCCTATGTATACACTCTCATATTTATTTGGAGTGTGTATTAGGGTTTATCAAATGTTACACTCTATTCAGAGACCTTTATGGTTTCAGGCCTACCTATCAGAAAAGGAATAAGAATTTACAGAGTGTTTGCCTTATTATATTTCAAAATTGGAAATCCATGTGTTACTATGTTTACTGGTCTATAAAGAGTACTAAATACTAATTTCAGACACAAATATTCATTTAAAAAGCTTAATACAAAAACATGATCTATTTTTATGACAAGCAATTATTTTCTGCACAAGTTTTTTGATATTCAGTCCCAAGTCAATGAGAAAATTCTGAAACAAAATTTTCCAGAATAAAACAGTCTAAGGATGGCATTGCTTTCATCTTCATAATCACTGTCACACAATAGGCAGATTATTGTTTCTTCTTTACATATTGAGAAACAGTTTCAGAAGATAAAACAATTTGCCTACTATCAGTAGCACAGCTCTGACTAAATTAGGTCTGTAGACAATTAGGATAGTGTTCCAGTTACTTCATGCCATAGAATTTCCAAATATCAGGGATCCTATCTAAACCTTTTCTTTTATTCTTTCAATACTTCATGATTGAGCTTTTTCCAGTGTGTAGAAGATTCACATATAAATATTAGTACTAATATTTAAAAACATTACTGAGTAATGGACTTAAGGTTTATAAAAGTGCCTAAATATCTTAATATTGGCATTTTATACTGTTGTCAACACAGAAAACAAACTTTTATTCCAAACACATACTTTGGCCTGGATCTTGATGCTTCAGTTTTTCTCCACTTAATTTACATATGCTTTTATGTTTTGTCATATGCTCATATCTGTAATTTTAATAAATAATCAAAGGAAATATGTGAGCTGATTCTCAAGGTGTAGCTTTTAAAAAAGATCCAAAGTGGCAAAAAGAAGTTGTCCTAACACCACAAAATTATTAACAATGCATAGGATTACTTTTAAATCCATAGTTATATTCCCAGGAATCAGTTCATTTATAATTTTTATCTGGTTAATTTCATAGGTTTTTGTATTTAAAATAGGCATGTAAGTCAATGTGCTTTATAAGTGCTTTGTGTTACTGGAATGTCCTCTTTTAAGGAAAATTCCCTTATGGATTTCTTTGACCTGTTGCTTCTTATAATTCTGCATGTCAACTGGCTGCTGACTTCTAAAAGTGTTTTTTTTTTTTTTACATCAGGAAGATTGTGAAGCCCATGGGAATTTCCAAAGTGGAGTATTGAGTTTGATATATAGCCTTTATTCAGAGGTCTCCTCTGGGTTTCCCAGGGTTGTACTTTCTGCGGGAGTCTCTGAGTTGGCTTCTAGAATGGCACTGGATTCTGAAGATTCTGGTTGTGAACTGTCTCCATCAAGGACAATATCTTCAGGATTTGGTGGGGGTGGACAGAAGTCTTCATTGGGGCATATACTCTGGAAAATTATTTCAGCCTGGCCAAGAATGAAGGAACAAAATAATTTAGATTAGACATCAGTTTAAAATACATGTGCATTTCAGGAACTATCTAAAAAAATTAAGTGGTACTCTTAAAATTTTCTTTCATGTAGTTATAATACTTGACCAGTATATATATGCATGATCTTCTAAAAAGTGGCTTTTTCATAATTCTATGGCTTTTCTCTTTCTTTTTTTGCATTGCTGGGGAATGACCCCAGAGCTTCACGCATGGTAGGCATACACTCTATCACCAAGGTATACCCCCAGCCCTTCTCCCTCTATTTCTATATATCAATTCAGGTCTACCCTTCAAAGATGAAATCATTTGACCAAGTTCATTATTAGGCATTCAGATTATTGAGAATATAAAAACATTCATTAGTATATACCAATGGAAATACAATCCACTGCCTCACTATCAGATCAGGATCCCTGTCATGCTCAGGAGCTTGCACTCTATTGTATTGGTAAAAGAGAGTCATTAAAGGTCTTAAGACATATGCTGATTTAAAAAAAAAAATAAGGTTTTTCTGGATTTCATTTTTCTTCTTGATGTACACACAAGGTGAATGGTTAGACCAAGAGCTGACAAACTATTGCCCACAAATCAAATCCAGACTGCTGCTTGGTTTCATATGTAAAGTTTTATTGGAACTCAGTCACATTCATTCATTTACCTATTGTCTATGGCTGCTTTGCACTAATAATGGCAGAGTTGAGAAAATACAATAGAGACTTATGGGCTGCAAAACCTAACTTAATTAACATCTGGACTCCTGCATCGGATGACTTTTTAAGGGATGCGTAGAAGGATAATAAACAAAAGCTTTTGAGTTTTGAAGTGGACCTGAAAGAAGGGACAAAGATAGGAAAATTATCTTTCCCTCTTGGATATACTTCAAGGCTATGTTTCTGGATAGGCTATTTACTAGATATTTTAAATATTTACTTGGCATAATTGTATGTATTCAAGGTATTCAATGTAATGATATACACTGCATGAATTTCATAATCAAATTAATGAATGTAGCTACCATAGTATATGGATCACTAAACATCTGCTCTCTTATCAAATTTCAAATAAACTATCGTGTCACTTGAGACAACATGGATAAATCTATAGAAATATTATGCTAAGTGATATAAGTTAGGCCCCTGAAATACTGCATGGTCTCACAAATGAAATTGAAGAAAATCACATTCATAGAAACAGCGAAAAAGGGCTATTTCAGGGATTGAGGGTAGGAATAATGGGGAAATTTTGGTCACAGGATACAAATTTTCAGTTACAAAATGAGTGAGATCGAGTATCTAATGTCTAGTATGGTAATTTTTAATTAATAATACTGTATTGTTTACTGTGGACATACTGAAATTAAATTTTAGAGATGTCTGCTTTGTTCTCCACCCTAGGAACTCACCCTATGCCTCTGCTGGAGACATTTAGCCCCTTCTGCAGAAGGAAGACTCAGATCAGATTCCTCCTTCACATTTCAGTTCTCCTAAAATGGTCTTTTTATCTCATATCCCTCTCTTGTCTGTCTGTAGATATTTTCTATTCCCTTTACTCCCTACATGCAAACAACTGCCAAATCTGGGCAATTTCATTTTCCATTTCTTGATTCTATTTGCTCTATCCCCAATGACATAGTTTAGGCATGCACCATCTTGCACAGCAAGTACAATTCCAACAGTTTCTGAACCGAGCTGGTCTCCTTGCCTCTAGAGTTTTCCCATGTATTCCACCTCTATGACACTCTCAGAAGGGTCTATGGGAGATAAAATTCTGTTTTTCTGTGTTTTCTCTTCAATGACTCCCCATTACTAATGATGAGTTATAAGATCGCTAGTATGGCATATAAACTCTTCAGGCCTACTTTCTGGTCTTAATCTCCCATTTCTTCCAACCTCTACCTCTCAGATGTTTGGCTTTACTTATACCTTTACCAGTACTTCCTCAAACATACCACGATGTTTATATCCTGGGCTGGTGCAGATGCTACTCTTTTCACCCTGACTATTTCAATTCTGTTGTCTTTGATAGTGATGGAGAATTGCTACACATCTATTAAATCCCTCTCTGTAAGGTTATCATTACTCCTATACCCACCCCCTTTTGGTAGTACTACTGATTGAACCCAGGGCCTCACAAGTTAGTACTCTACCCCTGAATTGCAATGCACAGCCATCCTATACACACTTTTAACTTGTGGATTTTAAATACAGTTCATTTTATAATATCAGTGTATTTTTAAGCCATAAGCTGGTAAATAGGAAGACAAGGGAGTCAGGTCTACATATTGAAACTTTACAAACTTTTCAACTGCTAAAATGAAACATTTTGTTAGAAAGAAAAAGGGAAAAAAACGAAAAAAAATCTGTAGGGGTTTATTTTTTTAATTTTTAAGAATATTTTTTTTTAGTCGTAGGTGGACACAATACCTTTAATTTTATTTATGTGGTGCTGAGGATCAAACCCAGGGCCTCACATGAGAGACAAGCACTCTACTGCTAAGCCCCAGCCACAGCATAGGGAATTATGTTTTTAAATGGGCAAAACTTAGGTGATGTTCTGAGAACTTTTAGAAATAACATTCTTCATTTAGAAAATAGAAATCACAATTAGTGACTGAGATAGGCTCATGGGAGATGTACTGGAATCAGAATGTAGTTTATCTGAATAAACTGTTTATAAATATTATCAATGCTCTTTAAAGTAGGCATTATTATTTTTTCTCCAAACAGATATTTGAGTGCAAATGCTATGTAAAAATGTAAAACTACTTATATTTAATAGCATATAATGATTAGTACCCAAACTGGCATTATAGTGTTCTCTAATTTGATATTTACCCCCTGAATATTATCTTCTTGGAAAGCAAATTATCTCACAATAAAACTATCCCTTAACTATAATCTTATAGCATGTAGTAATTTAGATCACATTAGCACTTGTATTATAAGCTCTTAAAATTTCTGATATTTTGGCTTAAAAAATTAAAGCTTATAGCTGGGTACAATAACATATGCCTGGGATCCCAGCAACTTGGGAGGCTGAGGCAGGAGGATCACAGATTTGAGTCTAGCCGGGGCAACTTAGGGAGACCCTGTATTAAAAGATGAAAAAGACTACAGAGATATAATTGGTGGTAGAATATCCTGAGTTCTATCATTAGTATCACTACCCTCCAAAATTAAAGTTTATTCAAGGGTAAAAACAACCTAAGTAACCTGGTTAAAAACTTATTGGCAATTTCTGCTTGCAATAAATTGGACCACCAAAGTAAAAACTACTTGATCAGTTATACCACAAATGTAGATATTGAGCCATCTTAAATTCCTATTATAGTATTAAAATACAAAGAAGAGAGTTGTGACTTCCTGATTTTTGTTTGACATTACTGGCTAAATATGATTTTCCAACATCACCATTAGTCTCTAAAGGTGAGGCACAAATATTTTTTTGCAAAAAACTATAAATGTCTGAATTGTGGTCATTTTTCATAGCCTTGCTGCTATGACTAAAAATTAGACTACATGCTCAATGAGGCCACTGGCTACTAAATATTCCTGCTACTGGTGGGAATGAAATTAGATCCCTGCCATATCTGGTCTCAAAACAATGTTAAATTATCCATTTATTATTAGAACGATGTGCCAAATCTTTCTGAGAAAAGTTTAGACTTGTGCCTGAAAAAATATTTGTTTATTTTTTCTTTCCTGTCAAAGGCAGACAAGTGTATTGGTTTAGGCAAATAAATTTTCTACAGTTCACTTTTGGCAGCTTGTCTCAGCCTGTACCTCTTCATAGCCTTGCCCAGGAGCACTATGATTAACTTCCACTGGTACTTACCATACTCCTCAGCAGCTATAATAGTAGGTCTCGAGACAATGGCTTGTGTCAATGTAATAATACTGTAAGAAGCCATGTTATCATTCTTTTCCAAGATTAAAAAAACTGCATTAAGACCATTGTAAAATTACATGTTGTTTGCTTTTACTAGCTATATCTTTCTTGAAAAGACAGGAAAAAATGCTTACGTATTTCAAAATAACAGATGGTGGACAAACTATTTAAATTAGAAACAATTTTTTTTAAATACTGAGATTATAAATTCATTTTAAAAATATTTTTAGTTGTAAATGGACCACAATATCTTTATTTATTTATTTATTTTTATGGGGTGTTGAGGATCAAACCCAGTGCCTCACACATGTGAGGCAAGCACTCTACCACTGAGCTACAGCCCCAGCCCCTATTACATTCATTTTTATGAACATGTATTTTAAACATCTTCTATCCATATTGCCATAGTGGAACTCATAAATCACCTCTCATAATTCATCAGTATACTCAATGTAGTGAAAATACTTGATAAATTATATTTAAAGTTGCTTTGCAGTTCATAGAAAAATGTTTAGCTGGCCATGGGATGCACCCCTATAATTTCAGCAACATGGTAGGCTGAGTAAGGAAGGAGGATCACAAGTTTGAGGCCAGCCTGTGTAATTTAGCACGACTCTCAAGACTCTTAGCAAGAAAATATCTCAAAAAAAAAAAATTCAGGCTCAAATGCAGAGATGGTATTAAATGATGGTACCAAATTTGATGGTATTAAATTTGAAGTCTCTTTTCATGGGGGCAGGGAGCTCACTTAATACAAAACTGAGAAATACCAACATCCTTACCTGTTTGACTGCATTATCATTTCCTAAACCACCATCTGGTCCAGAGCAGACATAAACATTGGATGGTAAATCATTATAACAGTTCCTGTTGATGTCGGAAGAATCTCTCATATTGAAATAGAGAGCCCACAGAATTCTTGGCTTTTCAACTTCTTCATTTTCTAAATGTAAAAATGAATTTTATTTATATTATAAAACACATTGCACCTGTTGATTACTACACTATGCAGCCAATTACCAAGAAGGCCATGACTAGACATGGTATTAAATCAGACTTTTGTATATAAACAATTAGTAAATGTATAAACTCTTATATAAATGCATATTTCAAGCAATGATGGCTTTTCAACCTAAGACAAATTACATTTTTAAAAATTATTTTGATTAGTAAGTTAATTTGATATAGTGCCATGCTCCTTATATCTTCTGGACTTATATCTTCTCATTAGCATTAGTGTTTATGCTCATATTCATCCTTAAAGTGTCCCTATGAAGTGAAAAGATAATAAAAAATGAACTTGTGTTTTCAATAGACAATCTAACTTATATAAAGTATATAATCTAACTATAAATTAAATTATATAGTAACTTAATAGTATCTCCAGAATAAATAAATCCACAGAAATAGGAATCAGAGGTTATTTAGGGCTGAAGGATGCGAAGGTAAATGGAGAGCAAATGCTGATAGGTACGGAGTTTCTTGGGGGAGGTGGGTAACAGATATTCTAAAATTTAATGTTGATGTTTGGACAATTCTGTAAATTTTTTAAAAATATTTATTTTTAAATTGTAGTTGGACACAATACCTTTATTTATTTTTATGTGGTGCTGATGATCAAACCCAGGGCCCTGCAAGAGCTAGGCAAGTGCTCTACTGCTATCAAGCTTGAGGCAAGTGTTCTACTACAGCTCCTATAAATATATTTTTAAAACTTGAATTTTACTCTTTAAATAGGTAAATAATATGGCACATATCACAATAAATCTATTATTAACAATGGTATGCACAGGATTAAAATTTTGATAGAACTCACTTTGCCATATTGGAACATAAAATTAACAACAATAAAAAAGTAACAAAAATGAGGCCATGAAATGGAATAGTATTTTAAGCACACAGCCTCTCATTGTTAATACAGAGTGTCTATTTTGCATATTAGGCATTGACATAGGAGCTGGGTATACACAGATGAGCTAGAATTAGTCCTTACCCTCCTCCTTTTTAATTTTCCCTAACACAGAGCCTAGTACACAACAGACAATAAATGAGTTGGATTGATTTTGACCCCGTTTTCAGATATAATTAAAGTACAATGTGCTTATTAAAAGCCCAACCTGGTTAACCTCAATTTCTAAAGCTCATTTGTTACTATCTTGATGATCATTTCTCTGCCTTTATTCTTTAAAAATGTTATAATTAAATTTTCCAGGGTTGGAGAAAATGTATTGTTGTTAATATATCTATTGACTATAGAGTTTTCTCTAGCCCGAGTCTGAATAAAAATTCAAATTCTGTACAATGATAATAATGGATGTTTATAAATATTACTCAAGTCTATGAGGCACTTTAAGAATCATAAAGAAAGTGCTAAAGTATAATTACTGTCAATGTTAAATTGTTAATCAATGTAGAGAAATTCTGAGCTAACTGTAGTATTCAATTAACAAGAATGCCCTATTCCTGAATTCAAGATAAGTAGGATTTGATTATATTTAATTTAATATATCTGCACTGTAAGAACATTAAATATGTTATTTTTATTTTTCTAGTTCATCCTAAATAATCCACAATTATGAGTGTGACAAGATAAATAAACCGAGTAGAAGAAGTGATCTTTTTAGGTATCACTGAAATGCAAACATCTATTAGTCTAACTTTATGTAGGCACACATTAGATGTCAAAACCTATTTTTTGACAAAACCAAAAAAAAAAAAAAAACATATAGGACTGGTATTTCAGAGCTAAATATAGAGCTTTTTATAAATTGGTGAGTTTAGTTTCATTAAATCGTATGAGAAGAAACTTACAAATATTGCTTAGGATTCATGCAACCAGACTTGGGGAGCATTGCAGAGAAATGGGCTAAGGAATGGAAACTCTTATATTGCCGAGCCCATTTCTAAGCATATGCTAGGAGAGAATATCTTGTATTTCATGAAAATTCCAGCTCAGGTCAGGATATTTATTGAATATTATTTGGGGGAAATGAGTAATCCAATAGATTATGGAAAAGAAATCTCACATGTTAAGGCTTTGAAAATAAACCATGTAGAGAGAGAAAAGTTGACACAGGCTGAAGAAAAATGCTCTAGAAACAAGGGAGCTATCAAGCTTTGACCTTAAAACCTTCGAAGATACATATAATTTCTTCATCTTTCTTTGAAGTCAGCTGAAAGGCAGAGAGATAGCTGGAAAAAATAACATGCAGTTGTGAAGTATACAATTGTCAGAGAATATTAAAGCAGCTGAGCTTTGGTTGGGAAATGCTTCATAGGTTGCCAGTAGCAGAAATGTTTTTCTCCAATAGCGCACTTCATTCATTTAGATAGTGTAAAGACTAAAGAAGTAATCGGAAAGTTAGAATAGATCTTAAACAAATTAAAATCAAGTGAATCTTGAATAAAAGCAAGAACAAAAATAACTTTGGTAAATTGAATAAAAACAAGAAACGATGTACAGTTGCACACCATGTGTAAGGAGTAAGTCAACCATTTTAGGTAAGTTGTTTTCATCCACTGGGAGAATAGCCCTTGATTGAGTCTGAATGGAACACATATAAAAATGCAATTAAGACATTTGTTTTCACAACCCAACAAGTACTTAAATCCCCTTATCAGTCACCAACTTCAAATTATACCTATAAGGGGAATTCACAGAACGTGCTGCTCTTTGAGATAAAAATCAATGAAATGGAATGTGGTAACTCCACAAGCCATGTACAGTGGAGGGAAAAGAGAAAGAAGATGGTGCAGTGATGACACTACATTTTAGACATTTAAAAATACACTACTGAATGAAAGTCTTGCTTTAATGTGTATTGAAAATATCAATTTTCCTGGAAAAAAGAAGAAAACTCTCAGAATAGTTTTACCAGTGAGACTAGTTTTACCAGTGAGACTGGTAAGTATATACTGTTCACTTTGTAATTCTCTTTCAGTGCTTTGAATGATATTCTATAGTCTGGAAGAATTAATGTACAATTAATGGTGAACAATCATCCCATTTTCTCACCTGCAGAATCAGGTTAATTAAGCAAAAAGCATTTGGTATACTTTTTGGGACTAAGAATTAGAGAAGGGTGAGTGCATGCAGAACTATGCAACAGCATACCCCATTATTTCGTACAAATATAATTAACCAATAAAAATATGGAAAAAGAAAATAAAAAGCAGAGAAGGGTTTCAAGATTCCTGATGTTGTTACAGAAGGTTAGCAAATAGGGCTCTTGAAAGTATTGAGCCAGAGTTTATCTCAAGGGCCTTGGCTGACAGGTATAAAGTGAAAAGGCAAGAAAGAGAGGGAATACCTACAGAACTCTACAGGAATTTTTCAGAAACATTGCCAAAGAAGTACTGTATTTGAAAAGAGAATATTATCTTTTCCAAGAAATGATCTTCCCTGCAAGGTGTCCAAACTGACTTTCACAACGGATTACAATGCACAGCACCATACAGAATGTAGAACTCAGAGAAAAATAAAATGAAATAAGGCCAAATAATGTTATTCCTTTTGTCTATATTTTAACATAAAATATTTACAATACTCTAAAGCATAAGGTTTCACATGATTGTCAAATAATCAAAACATAATAAAAGCTATCAATCTGTGAAAATATGGGATTTTGCTACAGGGAAGAATGTGCTTTAATGCATTAAAAGTTCATATTGCTCATAAAGTTCATTCTTCCTCATTTAGGCAGGAAAATGAATTGAGTTCTCTTCTGCAGGTGACTTTGCCTCTTTGACCTGCCATGGCCCAGTGCTCACTTTATCTGGTGATTCATTTTCAATAACTCCAACAGTATTTGTTCTGACATTTTAATTAAAATATGACCACTACCTCATCCTGATGATAAAAAGGCCTATGTGTCAGTGAAAACTAGCTTTTCAGTGCCTCGGTGCACCTGAGGACCTCTCTGAGCACATAGTTCTTACTAAAGAATTTCACTCAGCTTCTAAACAATACATCATTTCAAAATGGGATCACTTTAACCATTAAGATTAATGTTCAAAAATCTAAAATGGCCAGAGGATGCTATGTAAAGAACAAATAATGTTCCCCAGCTTGATCTTTTAAACAAAAAATTCAATGTATTTAAGAAGAGAAATGATACAAGATTCAAATTTACTGTTCTATTTGACACTATCATTGAATGAAAGTACAACAGAAACATGAAAAATTTTAGAAATGACAAAGAAAGGGTTTTTGTAAGTAAGGGGCAGATGTAGTTAGAATCAAAAGATACATTTTAACTCCATATTATGTTTAGGAATATTACCATGTATCATAACTCTAAAATCAAACTTTTAACAATGAACCAAATATTTATGATATTTTCAGACGAAGAAATAAGAAATAAATTAAATTCTAAAGTTTTTAGATCAGAGGACATTATTCAAGAAGCACACAAAGAATTTAATTATATTAATACAAGTTCCTGAAAAATGGAACAGTTTGTTTTCTTATGTAAATATAAACATTCCTTGTTGAATAAACAGGGAGCTGAATAAAAGTTAAGATTCCATGTCTGCATTAAGAAAAGCAACATACACAGGAAATAAGCTAAAACAAAAAAGAACATATAGGAGTAAAAAATGGTTGTGTGTACAAATGTAACATTCAAAGAAAATGATATATGAATTAATTGAAGAAAGTGAGCAAGACTCAGGTGGGAATACAAACACTATAATGAAAATAGCCTTTCTTTCATATAAATGAAGAACATCCATCAGGCTACTTTTTGATCACTTACACACAAAATATGCAGCATTTCCTCCATTCACACTACAACAGTTACTCTATTATGGGGAGAAAAAAGTTTTAAAATCATGGTGAAAAAACATTTTTTTCACAATAAATAAGAAGTATGTGGGCTGGGATTGTGGCTCAGCAGTAAAGCGCTCGACTAGCACGTGAGAGTCCCTGGGTTCGATCCCCAGCACCACATAAAAATAAAGATATTGTGTCCAACTATAACTCAAAAAATTTTTAAAAATTTAGAAAAAAGAAGTATGTACACATTTGAGGACTAAATATTCATCACATCAGTAGCATGCTATGCAGTAAAAGAACATTATTAATTAGGATGGAGGTCTATGTTTGCCAATTAATATATGAATCTTCTGTCAGTTGAATCAACATCAAAGAAGGTAACTTTTCCTGATAAAGGAATATGTGCTCTTTAAAAAAAAATAAAAAGAAAATTATAAAAAAAATTGCCCATAATTCTACCAAAATTACTTGAGAAATTTCCTGATAGTCTTTTTCATGCATGTGAGAATGTATGCTTGTAAAGTATACATTGGCATTTAATTATATATATTTTTGTGTATGTTTGTAATGTACATTTTTTCATTAACATTTTTCCATTAACTATTTCCCCATGTTTAAGAAGACAATGTATTCAAATCTCTTAGTAAAACATGTGAGAGTTGTTGCTGAATACATCATATTTCAGTTCAGGTTGTAAAAGCCTTCATGAGATGAGCTGGGGTTGTGGCTCAGCAGTAGAGTATGAGGCCCCCGGGTTCAACCCTCAGCATCACATAAAATAAATAAATAAAGGTATTGTGTCAACTACAACTAAAAGATATTTATTAAAAAAAGGCTTCATGAGATATCTAAGAGGAGTATTATAGTTACTTTAACTTTCTATCATAAATCATGGTTTATTTTTCTTACCTATGCCTGTTTCTGTATATGGAGTAAACAATTTCTCCACAACTGCTTCTAAATCTTCTCTTGCTGTTTTAGAAGATGTACAAGTCAAATGAACCAAATCTGTAAAGAAAAATAATATTTTGACTTACTGTTTATCATACTCCATTGCATTCATATTCAAGGCCACATGCTGGTATCATGGACAACAGGGAGCTGAATAAAAGTTAAGGTTCCTACCTGCAATAAGTTGATAATCTAGTGATAAGGAGACATAAAATGCATGATATTATGCTACATATATTAATAAAATATGTATTAAGTAATAGATTGAAAAATCACAATAAGATTTAAGGAGAAGTAGAAGTTGAGGTTAATTCTGTAAACAGTAAAAAAAGTTTAGGAAATAACATTCACAGAAAAGTGCCTAAATTATCCTTATAAAATTCATAAAAACGATGGATAAAGAAACAAAATAATTGGAACAAAAAGACCAAAAATAAAATATTGATTTATCTAAGAAAACGCACTTTCTATCCTTAAGACAAAAGAATCCATTTATACAGAGTTTACTGATAATTAAAAACAAATCATATAGTGTTTTCAAAAAATTTTAGGGAGAACATTTTTGGCTTACTTTGCATCATACACACACATACACACATATACTTGTCATACACACATATACTTTCATACACATATGAAAAGGCAAGATGAAAACAGCACATCTATTTTTTAGGAATCACAAATCACTTTTCTTTTGCATTTATAAATTCATGGAACCTGGACCTTGAAGAATGATCAGGTTAGAGAATATCATACAAAAAAGACTCTTCATAGAAACAAAAAACTGTAGCTAAATTCAGTTAGAACATCTAAAGGTATATGCACAAAATTGGATAAGATTTCTATATACTGTAAGAAAGGACTGATTAAAGAGATCTCTAAATGAGATCTCTTTTGGAAAGGGCTTACTTGGGGTAGGATAAAATAATGGCAGAAAGAATATATTCTAGAAGTCAGAATGCTAAGAAATTCCTATTCCACCAATAGAAAGGTATACCCACCTTTTCTCCAAGAGTATAAGAAATTTTTATTCCTGGTAAAGATGGTTCAAATTTTATCATGGAAGCCAATATCAGAATAGGAGTCTTATTATCAAAATTCATTTCATATTTAACTTATCTATAATATCTAATAATAAACAGAGGGATTTTTAATAACTATATGAGCTAAAATTGAATTTTGTAGTCCCCCTTCCACCCAGCTCAGCAAGCAATGTGATATTCATGGATAGTTGCTGAATTATTTATGGTTTAATAAAACATGTACCTTAATTAAGGATTATTTTTACATGAATTTAACAATGATTCACATAGATTCTGGGATGTTTTAAAATAATTTTTAGTTGTCAATGGACCTTTATTTTATTTATTGATACATGGTGCTGAAAATCAAACCCATTGCCTCACACATGCTAGGCAAGTGCTCTGCCACTGAACCACAACCCCCACCCAAGTTCTGGACTATTTTAAGATGTATATTATTTCAAAAGTAAAATAAACTTCACAACAATATTCTTATTAATTAAATTTTTTGAATCCTGTTTCATGTTGGTGGGTAGAGGGTTTAAATTTCATAGATAATCATGAAATTAACAGGGTATGCAATTACAAAGGTCAGAAATTCCTGATAATATATGTGAGAATGACTTTTCTGTCCCTCTCATCACACAGTCTCACAATGCTCATGTCAAAGTTTTCAATTTTCCAGTTCTTCTGTATTTAATCAATATTAACTAGGGAAAAAGCAGATGCAGATGAATGCAAACAAGATAGTATATTTTGAAAAGTAACTTAGTGGCTAAATTATTAGCTCCATTAAACAAGATATGAATTTTAAAGAAGTAAAATAATGTTAAGTATATTCTTGTTTCCCAACAATGTAACAGTTCGGTTCAAGTAATGCTTACAAAAATTTCTAGTATTCAAGTCAGATTAACAACTTGTACTTAATTAATTTCATAGCAATTCTTAAAAAGACAAAGACATTCATAACCTGAATTTTAATGTCTGTACTTTGACTCCATTTAGATGCTTCATTATCAGTTGATCTATAACATTTAAGGCATAAACAACTATATTTTCCTCAATACACTTTCTCATTTTCCCATTACCTGTCACATCCTTTTACAGGTTGCTCATTTTCGTTATTTTCAAATCACAGATTGTGGACTGTGTTATCTTTAAGATTATTTTGAAAATTGGACTATTAATCTTTGTAAATCCTTTTCAGCAGGAAGCTGTAAGGACCAATTTTCTTGTTCTGCCAAATAGAACTTTTATTTATAGTGGGTGTTCAGTAAGTGTTTGGTGCTAATGATAATTTGGATCCTTGTTATGGAAAAGCATTACATATTCACATGCTTGAACAGACGTGCATGCAACATAAATCATTTTATACATACACATGCGTGAGGAAGATCTGACTACTTTCTTACAAGAAATGTAGAATATTATCTACCAGGATAGACACAAGGAAATTACCAAGAGATCAATCTCAAATCAAATATGCCTGAGAAATGTTCATAGATAAATAAGATATACCTGTAAAATGCTCAAAAGAATTTGAAGAATTGACCATATCGCTAACAGACATGTGTAACTATTCTACACTATTTAAGCATGTTATAAGTGGGATTTCATTTCACTTGTGCAACAGCATTTATCATAGTTCTATAGGTGAGAAAACAGATGCACAACGGAGTGCAGGAGATTTCCCAAAGTCATGAAATTAATAAAAGAATGAGCTGGGACTAAGAGCTGGAATTCAAGCCCAGGTGGTCAGTCTGCAGAGTGCCTGACCTTGGACACTAAAAGACATTTGTGATTGTCATAATGGCCTACAGAAGGCAGAGCCAGTCATTTAAGTCAGCAGTCTTCAAACTGGCGTGTGCACAGGAATACACAAGGACTTTTGGCAAGGTATAATAACTACAAGGGAATCATTTTCCAGATGTTGAACTTCACCTCTTTCCACTTCATTAAGAAATAATACATCAACAAATTTTACTTTTGGTGTTGAATATTTATAAAAATGTAATACATTATGACATTGATTATTTTTGCAAATAATAATTATATGATCCAAAATTTTTAATATTTAAAAACTTACTACACCAAATAGTTTCTAAAACTCCTTTTATTTTTTTTAATTGATTACTGTGGGTATCAAATAACCTTGCTACTCAGATTCCATGAATACATTTAAAAGAACATTATAGTTTTACTACTACAAATAAATATTTATAATGTTAGAATTTATTTATAAATTTATACTCTGCAATTATACTCTGCCGTTATTTGAGCCTTCTGAAGAAAAATTGTATATGTGAACTTAAAAGAATTCAAGGGGTACATGAGCAAAAAGTCTGAACACCTTGGGCCCATGGTAAATTCAAAACTAAACCTGGAGAATATATTGTCATTTTTGAATAACATTAACTCTATGTGAAATACTTCTTTGCATCCTGTGTCATCTCCACAGACTTAATTTGCTCAAAGGCAAACAACAAGCACAAATTAGATCAGATGGGCAAACACATTCCTAAAAGTGTTACATTTCATTAACACCAACTGACAATTATTACTAAGACTGTGGCATATGCAGCAGAAGAGGAAACATTTCCCACAGGTGTCATGCGATCTTATAACTGACACAAAAATTAAATCTTAACTCTACCTTTTATAAACCATGCTCCTTTTACTTCGTTTAGAAATCACTTAAAGGCTTACTGGGCTAAAGAAATATAACACAATATATTCTCTATCAAAATTCCTATACTGGTAATACACTTAGATTTTGTACAGGCATTTAAGAAACATTAGTTCAAAATAAGCTTTCCTAAATGTAAGAGTAATCCTTGAAAAACTTTGATGAATGGAATGTCAGTTACAATCAGCATCATAAGAAAAAAAAAAAAGGATCTGAAAGGGAGAAGTCAGAAATCACTTGACACAAAGCTAGAAATAATAACACATTTTCAAATCTCCAAAACCTGGTTTGGAATACTGATCTATACCACAGGTTATTGTTTTGAAACATATGATAAATGAGATGTCTACTCAGAATTAGAAAAATGTGCATATTTTTTAAAAATTTGTTCTTTTAGGTATACATGACAGTAGAGTATATTTTGACATATTATACATACATGGAGCATAACTTATTCTAAAAAGGATCCTGTTCTTGCAGTTGGACATGATATGGAGTTTCACTGGTCATGTATTCAAATATGAACATAGGAAAGTTATATCCTCTTCATTCTACTATCTTTTCTATTCACATCCCCTCCCTTTCCTACATTCCCTTTTGTTTAATCCAATTATATGAGCATATTTAAAAGTAACAAGCCTAATGTATAGAAGCAAAGCTACATAGTATAGGATGAATATGTGGGTCTGGTTTTACTTCTGCTCTCCAGAAACACTTGGTTAAGTGAGTTTCTCTCTCTGACCTCAGTGTCTTCATGACTAAACAGAAGGTACAAAATTAGTTATCAAAAGGCCTCTACAAGTCTAAAATTTTATGAAGCCAACTTCTTATTATAACCATGATTTTTTCAGTGATGACAGATTTTTAAACCAAAAACTAATGGTGTTAACAAATGGCTACAAAACCTAAGTAAATGATCACTGAGAAAGAAAAGAATTCCATTCTTCAAGCTTCTGAGGTAATCACAAACAGCAGTCATTCACTCTATACAATAGGCAAAATTGTTCCAAATGCTTTGAAAGAATCTTGATGTAAAGGTAGTTAACAATTGTGTTTTGTTGTACAATCTAACTAGAAAACATAATTTATGTATATTTGTATGGCTCATAAGTTATCTTTTACATATGCATAAAGGTGAAATATAAGTCATGTCATAAATTACAAGTAAGAAATAATAGAGTCAATAAGATAAAAAAGGTTAGAAAGCCCATTTTCCTTAAGGTACCAACTGAGGAACTAAATGGTATATGACACACAATTTGTTTTTCTAACCCAACCATGGAAAAAATTATGGAGTTAAACTGTACTTTAACAGCAGAATTTAAGGAAAAAAATCTCTAGAATACCAA